ATTTACCAGAATTTTTGTATTTAGTATTAACTCTGGAAGTGTATACAGTTGTACCTCGAAAGTCAAATGGAATCTGTTCCGGAAGGAACTTTCAAAATGTTTGAAAACCAAAGTACGGCTTCTGATGGGCTGCAGGAAGCTCCTGCAGTCAATCGGAAGCTGCAGAAGCTCCATCAGATGTTTGACTTCCAAAAATAGTTCACAAACTGGAACACTCACTTCCAGGTTTGCGGTATTCAGGAGCCAAAACATTTGAGAACTAAGCTGTTAAAAAACCAAGGTATGACTGTACTCAGTTCTCCTTGAAGGCTTAGTTTGGTCAGAATTGAGTATACAACTTATGATAAGCAGATGAGTTAAACCAAAGGTCTCCACTTTACTTGCCCTCCAGAATGAAAATGGCACCATTTTTGCCTTTCAAATATAATTTTTGACAAAAAAAAAAGCAGACAGCTACTTAGGTGAAGGACTTATAATTAATTTTAAAAGCATTATTGTTCTCTTCTTGCAAATGAAGCTTCTTGTATGACCTCGGGAGAAATAGCATTTTGAGACCTGTAGTATAAAATTAATGTCAACGAAATAAATATACTGATGTCCTTTGAGAACATTATATTCATTTATAAAAGTGCTCAAGAGATCACAATGAAGTGGGCGGGTGTGGAGATAGCCAGCCAAGGAGTGACAAGATGCACGGTGCACAATAAGCAGAGTGGGTGGACGCCTCTGAGAAGTGAGTGTCAGGGAAATCAGGCAAGTAGAAATTAAATACAGAGATGTCCAAAATAGGAACAAAGACCATTGACTGGAAGGAAATGGTACAGGGGCAAAACTCGTGGCTGGGGGAGAGCAGACAACCCCCACTGGCCTTCCACAAAGAAGTGAGCTTCCCTCCTGCACTACTGCATTTCATCCCTCCAGGATTTACTCCTTCCAATCGAACAGAATGGTTTTCTTTCTCCATTAGATTGTTTAGGGGTGATGGGGAAAGTGTTACAGGGAGACAGATGGACAGGAATTGTTCTGAGCCCATGGATGATTTTACCCCCACATAGCTAGCTATGGTGCAGAAATTCAGTACACTTTGCATTTAAAGGCAAACCTACCTATTTGCACTTCCCGAAATAATATGTGCCATGAAAGGCAGCCTTCCCACAAAATTCACCCTTCTGCATATATATATATATATATATATATATATATATATATATATATATATTGCAATGCAGTTCTCCACCAAAGTAATGAGTACAAAAATGCATGTGCTCAGGTAAAGTGTGCATGAAAATGAATAATATATTACTGTATTTTTCGCTCTATAATATGCACCAGACCATAAGACGCACCTAGTTTTTGGAGGAGGAAGACAAGAAAAAAATATTCTGAATTTCAGAAGCCAGAACAGCAAGAGGGATCGCTGTGCAGCGAAAGCAGGGATCCCTCTTGCTGTTCTAGTTTCTGGGATAGCTGCACAGCCTGCATTCGCTCCATAAGACACACACACATTTCCCCTTACTTTTTAGGAGGGAAAAAGTGAATCTTATAGAGCAAAAAATATGGTACTTAAAATAAGGTACAAAAATGCATTCTATTGTGGGAAATTGATGCCAGAAACATGTATATTTGGAAAAATTGCATTAAAATGTACATATTAGGAGAAATTTGCACTAAAATGCTGGTGAATTTTCTTGGGATGATGTAGAAATGTGAACTGAAGACTGGAAGAAGTGGAAGCAAACTAAGATTTACAGATTTCTCCATCCCTACACGTAGCCAGACTTGGCTAGGTGATAAGGACACTCAGCCAAGGACAAAGCCCTATCTTTGAAAGGGTAGTGGTGATCAAATGTATTCCCCTTCCTCATACAACTACTCAGTGGCTTACTGTGACACAATAACAAATTCATTGCCTCTGAGTGCTGTGTGGTAAGACTTTCATCTCAATCAAACACTGACCAGTTACAGTTTTCTGTGACTAGTAGGTGAAGAAAATGCAATATTGCATAACTTTCAAATGCACCACTCTGGGATACATTCTCTCATATACTGAACTCCCCCCTCCCATTGCTAATGGTTTCATATCTCTTTGTAAAAGAATGTAGTAATCATCAAAAACAGGGACATGTCAGTCTTAAATAGGTGCGTAGGGAATTCATAATATAAGCCGATCCTCTTTTTTCAGATCAGCATGAGTTTGAACTCAACCTAGAGGTTTTAAAGGGCATCTGAATGCATTGGATGCACTTGGAAGTCTGGGATAAGCAAAAGCTACTAGAAAAATTCCATCACTAATTTAGTTTTCCTCTCCTCCTATCCCTCCCCAACCATGGCTTGCCACAGGAAAAGCTATTGCCAAAACTGGAGAATGCTTGGGAGAAAAGCAATACAGTTGATTTAAAAACTTTAAATCCAGAACTGTATTGAAATGCTATTTTTTAAAAAGTTTTGTTTGTCTGTGTTTTGTTTGCCCTGAAACTACAGCTGATGAAGGGCAATTTGGAAACTAAATAAATAATAATAAAAGAAGTGTTACTGATGATGCAGCCTTATGCATCTTTACTCTGACCTAAACCACACTGAATTCAATGGGACTTATTCCCAGTTGTGTGTTGGATTTCTAGCTGAATTATTCAAGGAAGAACAACACACACACACACACACACACACACACACACACACACAATCCAAGAAAATGCATACACCAAGGAAATAGCTTTCAGAAGTCACAATATTTTATTCTCATGTATTTGGGAGCAATACTACATGTCTGGAGCTGGCACAGAAATCATATTCTCTTGTCAGGGAACTATATTTGAATTAGAAGTATTAAAAGAAGAGAGGGGGGCAGCGGTTGACATTAACACAATCCTGATGCGAACATCTTTAAAGTTTGGGGGTGAGAAGAGAGGGAGCTGTTGGTATTCCAGGCTAATGAGAGGTTGTGACTGACCACAGAACTGTCACACTTAAAAAACAAAACCTAACAGCAGCATTCAAATGGAACCATTCCATATGAACTGCAAGGAATTGTTCAAAGACTAATATATCCTCTTTTGCTAGGTGATACAATTTATGCAACAGCCTTATAAACTGCCATTATTGCCTTATGTAAAATCTGGCAGGAGCATAAAGAACATTTGGCTGCTGATTCTGTAAAGCCAAAGGTGTGCTGCACATCTAGGAGGGGGGGATAAAATATAATTTAGGGCAGCAAGATGCTTGCAATACAAGCTGTGTGGAAGGTCGTGGTAAAAATTAAGGCAATCTGCAACTGACCACCCACACAGGAAAAGTAACAGATGAGGCCTTTCTCATGATTCACAAGACATTATGGGAAATGTGTTCGTTCCACTTTTACACCCACATCAGCTCTTCTGACAGACACATTAAAGCAAAAAATAAACCAAATAAAAATGCTGTAGAATGAGGCTGTCGCAAGGCTTTCTCCCCTCCCTTTCCAGACACAGGGGGGGGGGATTATTATGCTCAGCAATGGTACTACAGAGTCAAGGAGTTTAATTTCTCTTTTAGAGGCTTCAAACAGTATATACTAGTGCAGTGTGATATACAGTTTATGAAGCACTTGTCACCTGTCTAGTGGAATTTAGAGTACTCAGAGGTGTGACACAGCTAGCAGAAAAAAACAGACCAGCTGAGTAGGCATCACCTAATAAATGACTGTTACAAATGGTCACACTTGATTTGGGAATGCACCATGAATACCAGACACTTGAACTGGATCTGATTTTAGTAACTGTATATAACATTAGGAAGAACCTTCTGACAGTAAGAGCTGTTCAACAGTGGAAAGGGCTACTTCAGAAGGTGGTGGACTTTGCTGGACGTTTTGGGTAGCCATCTGTCAGGAATGCTTTAGCTGTGCTTTGCAGGGGTTGGAGCAGATGACCCAAGGGGTCCCTTCTAACTCTACAATTCTATGATTTTGTGTGTGTGTGTGTGTGTGTGTGTGTGTGTGTGTGTACAGAAATGTGTAGAAGGCTACCATTCTTTCCTTGCCTCCAACACTCTGTCTTGATTGGTTTGAGTTGTATAAAAGTGCCTGAATTCTTAAAGGGAAAGGGTATGGAGCTGTGTAAAATAAAGCTTTTATGTTTCATTTTGAAAATTTTCTTTAGGGGGTCATATAGAATTTGCTGCAGTCTTTTTTAAAGATACTTCTGAGGAAGTTTATCTGCTGGAAATAAACAAAACATGCTCAGTCTTCCATTTAAATATTATTCTGTTTTAAGATGCAGGTTATTTGTCTTTTATGGCAAGTGCTGTTACCTAGAACTGTTCAGTAGCTGGGGGTGGGGGTGGGGGAAGAAGATGGAGAGGATAAAGGAGGGGAAACAAGTTTATCATCACAGAGTTGGAGTGATCATACAGGGTCTTACTTCTGAATAAACTTGTATAGGTTTCTGTTGTCAGCTATTCATGAGATGCCATGCAGATCAGCAGTTAAAATCCTATACCTATGTACCAGAGAGTAAGACCGCAGCCCTTACCCCACTTACCTGGGAGTAAATCTTACTGACGTCAATAATTGTACTTCTGAATTGGCAAGAGTTTAAAATAGCAGCATGAGTCCTACAGAAAACAGAACTTACTCCTAAGCACACATGTATAGGATTGCTCTGTGAGAAGTACACATTGAAGGACTCTTGACAGAAGTTCTAGAGTTCTTAGACTGTTTTCCTCCCAGGTGAAAGAAAAAGAAGGTATTTATTGTTCTAATGTTACATTTTTTCACACATCTTCCATTACGGGCACAGCTTCCAAGACAGCAACGTCGCTTTTTTTAAAGGTCAGGCTCATCCAACAATTGTGTTTGTGTGGTGGGGGCTGGGTGAGAGATTTACATCCAGCGCATACCAATTCCAGGGATAGCATTGCTCAGGTAGGAAGAACCAGGTGCTCAACCCATGTGGTTCCTCTTGGCAGCCCATGCCAGAGAACCATGGAATCCAGGTGCTGGGAAGTGACAGCAACACATCCTTCTAGTAATAGGCCTTATGTAGCTTCAGGTGACATACTACACCAGCTGCTCCGACAGGGTAGCAGGGATGGTAGCTGCAATGCTTCAACTGCTATGTGCCCAAGGCTTATTGACAAATCGGCTTGGTACAATGTTAGAGCTGCCCACATGGGGCATTTTGCATCAGCACTTACATGATAAGGAAAGTGTTATAATAACTTTAAAAGCTAGGAAAAAATGTGTGAGTGTTGGGTAACCTGAGGGGCAATTTGATACTCATGAAACAAAAGGTTGCAATAGTCAAGTTAGTCTGGTTATGTAATCCACAGCAAGCATTGAGAGTTTTATTAAGAACAGGGGATTCATATTAATGAACTTCCATGTATGCAACTACAAAACAGTTGGCTTTGGGCATTCTTGGCTTGCCGAATATTTGGTTTTACATTCCAAGCTGGAAAAGCAACTTTTTCTGTGGCAGGGGGATGGCATTTGATTCAGAATGCTGCCAATCATTATTAGCTGGTCAAATCTGTGTTCCAGATCAAGCAATTACGAATGTTGGCAACCTCACTGTTAGTGAAAGCACTTTTTTATTGTAGAAAATATCAAGACCAAGTCCTAGGGTAGAATTTCACATATAGCCTTTTATTGACTTTAATAAGTGAAAAATGAGTGAAGTTATAATGAACCGTTTATGCTTCAGTGTACACAGACCCCAGGTGTTTTATAAGTGACAGGTCTGCAGAGTATCTATGAATGAAAATGACCCCAGGTAGCTGAACATTATTTGTGCTGCAGGTATATAAACAGCCAAATAATGAAATGAAACCCACAATGGACATTCAGCATACTTGATACAAGGGATTTTCTGACGGGAATGGAAAGGAGAGTTTTACCAGATTGATGATAACACAGGCAAACAGTTTAGATATATATTAAGGCAGGCACTGGCAAACTTGGCCATCCAGATGTTTTGGGACTACAATTCCCATCATCCCTGACCACTGGTCCTGTTAGCTAGGGATCATGGGAGTTGTAGGCCAAAAACATCTGGAGGGCTGAGTTTGCCTATGCCTGTATTAAGGCATACCAATGCATATGTCTGTTGAATCAGTTAAGGTGATTTGTACAGTGGTAACATTTGGTTGCCTACATGTCTCATTATTGAACATATCATAGAACAGAGTGGATTTGATGGAATATATATTTTCTCTTTTCTCCTTTTTAAATTATTTTTTAATCAATTGGGGAAGGATCATAGCCCAGTGGTAGAGCTTCTGCTTCGTATGCCTAAGGTCCTAGTGCAATTTTAGGTTGGTCTGGGAATGCTCGTTGTCTTGAATTCTGGAAAGCCACTTTCAGACAGAGCAGACAATACATTGCTAGTTGGATTGACGTGGTATAAGGCAGATCTCTATATTCCTATTTATGGCAGAGGCAAATTTAGGGCAGTATGAGTGGTGCAGGCAGTGGGCTGGCAGCAGAGGAGGGCGCCTTCTCAAAGCCCAGCAAACTCTTGTTTGGCTTTGGGAAGGAGTTATTGGGGCTCTGACAGGCTTCTCAAGTCCTCCTGCCTCATTCCCAAAGTCAAGCACAAACACTCACCAGGCTTTGAGAAGGAGGTGGGAGGGCTCTAGGACCTGCCAGAGCCTCATACTTCCTTCCCAAAGCCCTTTGTCTTGTTCACCCCACTCAATCCACGAGGGTCTGGGGGAAGGTGTCAAAGGTCTGTCCCTGTCTATGATAAATTATTATCACTCATAATAGTCCCCTCCCTGTGTTTATGGACTAAAGTACAGAACTCACCCATATCTGGAAGAGAATACTGGAGGCTGGTGCCTATTAGGACTGGTAGGTTGGAAGGCAGTGAGTCCAGCAGGTAGGGCAAAAGACTGGCAGAGATAGAGCCAATGAAAGTCAACTAGTTCCAGTTTTGTCCCTATCGTCCTCCCTGCTGGGACCTACTGAGGCTGAGAGACAGTGCCACCCTTTAGACTGATTGTAGGCGGTAAGCAGGTGGGGGGCCTGTTGAAGGCAAATGGAGCTTGCAAAATGGATCAACCTCTGCTGAAAGAAAATGAGAACTACAAATCAAAGGCAAAACCATCCCCTTCTTTGCTTTGCTTCTCCAAATCAGACTCAAAACAGTACGCTAGCCATTGTGGATGGGAGTCGTATAATGACTCAGGCTGATAAAATCTCCCCCTGGAATTTATTCAGACAGCTCCCTCCACACAGCAGCTCTGTCCTGCCCCCACCTTCAGTCCAACTTTTGGGAGCTAAAATAATGGCTGACTATTAACTATCTGGCTTTTCTTTCTCAACGCAGCCTTGTGAAGTCACACACAGTCACTGCTTCATGGGAGCCAGCTGTGGGGGAGGGACTTGTTGCCCGGCTGCAGCACAGAGAGAGGCAAAGCAGCCAGGATCATAATGGGGCTCCCTCAGATACTCCCCAGTTGAATTTAAACGGTGCACATTAGATCTCTGGAAAGCCTGCCTGAGTTTTTGGAAGATGTTATAATACCAGATATTTAGAGGCAGATTTTGGTGACTCTGTGCTATGTGGTGAGACTGCGCACATGGTTAAAGGGAACAGCTCTGGGGCCAATCCATGACATTAAAAGTAAAGCCTAGTGCTAATCTCAAAGTAAGCCATTTCATTTATTTGTGAGACTGAAACAATCTGTTATTTCTATTTTATGGAAATAAATGCCTTGGTTTTTGAGAGGCTGAGTATTACACACACACACACACACACACACACACACACATACATCCCCTGACAACCAAAAAGAAATGTTCCATGACACTTAATTTTTTTTGATGTTTGCTTTTTGGCAACAAGTTTGCTCTCTGCAGTCATCTGACAATTGTTTTTTAAGGTACTGCTGGTAGGAACATCTTGAAGTACCTCTTCTATAGCAGCGCCCCCTATGTGGAAGTATTTGGAAGGAGAGGCCATATTGGCTCCCATAACTTGGGGGTTATTCTTGTTTTATTGGCTGTTCTATGCTTTCTGGTGTAAGCTGCTTGAGGTTTCTCTATGCTGAAGATGGAGGAAACATGATGCAAATTCATTTATGTCTAATAAAATTTGTCACTGTAAAAATCAATTTATTCAATATCTTTTTGCCATATTGTAGTAGTTAATTTCTAAATAAAAGGTGCTTGGCTGGAATTATGTCTGAAAGCCATGCTCATGGCCTTTCATAATTTAATTGCATAGTATTGTGGTGTGATCCAATAACCAAAAGCGTGCCATTTCCCCTAGCCTTGTTGTCATTCTCTTCCCTGGTTGAAGTGTAACATTTTTTGTGAACTTCTCTGGAATCAGATTTAACGCAGGCTAGTAGAAACATGTTTTAAACAAAGAAAGCAAACCTTACCAAAAAGCTTTATCTACTGGGCTGTGTTCAGTGTTAGTCATATTCAGAGCAGACCCATTGAAAAACAATGGACATGACTAACTGAGGTTCATTAATTTATATTTGCCTCTTCTAAGTGGAATTTAGCTGGATACAACTTTAGTCTTTATAGCCTCCATGAACAATTGAAATGGTTGTCATTGTGGAGCTCTTAGCTCTGTTAGGAAGTATTTCCTCAAGTGTGATGCTGTTACTTCTGCTAATTTATTTTTTAACTAGTACAGGAAGGGTCTCCTTGATTGAACAATAAAAGTAGCTGGTGAGGAAGAATTTGTTGGGGTTCTTTAGGGCATAGCTGTCAACTTTTCCCTTTTCTTATGAGGAATAAGGGAATTTCCCTTAAAAAAAAGGAAACGTTGACAGCTATGCTTTGGGGGGGGGGGAATCAGTTCTACTGATATTGAACAGAAAACAGAGTAGCCTTCCCAGACCATGACTTTCAGAACAGCGGAAGCAGCTGGGAAGAAAGAAGAGGAGTTCAGGGATATTTTTAAAATTAATTTTATTATTTGTGTTTGCTTGTTTCTCAATTTGATCCTTTTAAATGGTTTTGTATGCTTTCTGCATTGATTATAGTTTAGTAATTCTTTATTGGAATTGTTAAGGGTAAGCTGTTATCTGCTTGCATTTAATTTTACTGTTTACTATTATATTGAATATTGCTTTATTCAATAGAAGCTGTTTATTTAAAAGTTATGTTTTTATTATGACTTTACATGTATTGGATCAGACTGTTATTAGGTGTGTGATCCTTGCTGTCTAGTTTGCTGTTTCTTCAGCTTGTAAATAGAGAAAGGCGGTATACAAATTGAAGTGAAATAAAAGAAAGAAAGAAAATGAAATCAATCGGACTTACTTTTGAGTAGACGTGGTTGGGATTGTCCTGATATTATGTAAGAGAATGCGAGGGTAAAAGATGTTGTTGATGATGACATTCGCCTGTCTCGAGAGACAATGGGGGTGATGTTGAACTACTGCTTTAGTAGAATTGAAGTGACCTCACCAGGATGCAAGCCTGGGCAGTGATATGGAGGTACTGGGCGGACCAGATGACAAGACCCCACTGTCAGCCTAACTGATGTGGTCCAAAGGAAAGCAGAATGATGCATTTGGAACCAGTTTGGCATCAGGAGTTGTTGGAAGGAGGTGTTCAAGGCACCATCCAACTATCTTAGGGACTCCAGATTTGTTTAGGGTTTACTCCTTAGCCTTTTCTTCTCCCAAATATGTCCCACAAGGCAGTGGAGGTATAGGATCAGAGTTTTCCTTCTCCTAGATAGGCTACCTTCCCAGTTGACCAGGTTCACTTCCCCGCTCCTCCACATGCAGCTGCTGGGTGACCTTGGGCTAGTCACACTTCTCTGAAGTCTCTCAGCCCCACTCACCTCACAGAGTGTTTGTTGTGGGGGTGGAAGGGGAAGGAGAATGTTAGCCGCTTTGAGACTCCTTCGGGTAGTGATAAAGCGGGATATCAAATCCAAACGCTTGCATTTGTATGAAAGAGATTGCCTTCATTTTATTATTGGAAGTAGTTTGTTGCATACCAAGATTCCATCCATCTTTTAATAACAAAATAATTGTAAAAATTCACCATCTGAAGAATATCTTGTTGAGGAAAGCAAGGATAAAGCTATTCCCCATGACCCAGAGCTGAACCCTACCACACTCCAAACTGCTTTTTTAAAGAACTACCCCTAATTCAAAAGACAATCTGAGAGTTTGACATAAAATAAAATAATTATTTTAAAGGGGGAAAATGTATCTTATACTCTCTAAATGCAGCCTTCAATTTGTGCCTTAAATGAAGGCAAAGTAATATATTTTACTATCACAAGTTTTTGACGAACTTTGTGTACTTAGTATGCCAACTGTTAAGGCAATTGCAGATAGCTTAAGCTGTAAAAATAGCTTGTTCCCAGTGAAATGCTATTCCCATTTTATTATGTTAATATAACACTGCTAGGTGCATATGAAGCTCAGTTCTTGCTTGGGTAGAAAATACTGTGGGAGATTTTAGATAAGGTGCCTGGTCCACATAATTGCAATATAGAGCTACCATAACTCCTATGTCTGAAATGGTTGGTTATGGTCAAATCCTTTGTTTTTAAAGGATAACTAACCAAATACTGCAACTATATCTGTCTTGGGAGCATGAGATGTCAGGAGTAGAGGCTGCAATCCATATACATTGCAGGTTTATGAAATGTCAGCAGCAGAGGTTGCCAGGTTTTCCCCTTCTGTGGTTTGGGCCTCCAGGGATTAACATCTGGTGGAGCAGTGTGAGGCAGGTAAGACCTTAGCAGCAGGATCAGAATGGAGCTGGATAGAATAAGGTGGACAAACAAGGAAGAGAAGATATTTCTCTCAATTTCTATTTTTTACAACCTTAAATTTGATTTGCTTCAACACACATCATATTTTTATGTGTAAATATACTATACACATAAAGGGACGCGGGTGGCGCTGTGGGTTAAACCACAGATCGTAGGACTTGCTGATCAGAAGGTTGGCGGTTCGAATCCCCGCGACGGGGTGAGCTCCCGTTGCTCAGATCCAGCTCCTGCTAACCTAGCAGTTCGAAAGCACATCAAAGTGCAAGTAGATAAATAGGTACCGCTCCGGTGGGAAGGTAAATGGCATTTCCGTGCGCTGCTCTGGTTTGCCAGAAATGGCTTAGTCATGCTGGCCACATGACCTGGAAGCTGTATGCCGGCTCCCTTGGCCAATAAAGCGAAATGAGTGCTGCAACCCCAGTCAGTCACGACTGGACCTAATGGTCAGGGGTCCCTTTACCTTTACCTTACTATACACATATCCTACTATACACCTTTTGCAAATAATGTATATCCCCCCTTTTTGTAAGCCGTTTCTCCTCTATTCCTCAATCTTTCTGTCATATACATTTTCTATGGCACAGGCAATCCTGTATGACCTTTTCAATAATATGTGTATATGTGCTCACATTCTTTGCTTAGAGAACTCTATCAAAAATTTGGAGAAGTGTGAATTTTGAACAACTGTGTTTCAGTTCATGTATCAGTTTAGGAAGTGCTGGTTTGGTAGGCTCACATTAAAATACGAACTGCATTCCCATCAACAGCTCTGCTACCATTCCACGTTCATCTCTCTTGGGGGAACTCTTACCTGTTTCAAGCCTGTGACTCAATTCAGAGGTTATGCTTCTGATCCTCCAAGTGCAGGTCAGGAATTTACGTACCTGATGATGGATTGGCACACACTTTAATCTTCCTCACCCTCTAGGTATATTCCAGTTCCAGCTCCCGGTACAAGAACATAGGTCTTAAAGAACTGTAAAAGGTTAGACCATGTGCCATATGTATAATACTTTGCACCTTTTTTATATAAAAAAACCAAAACAAAAAATCATTCACATGTCAGCTACTGTAAAGCCTGACAGGCCAGCCAGGGAAGGAATTGATATCTTCATCTCTTTCCCTGTCTCTCTCCATGGTTCACATTGCTTCCTCATCTGCAGCGTTCAATAATTGATGAGGAAAGTCGGCCCCACAAAATGGT